GCATAAGTACTCAATTCATTGAAAGTTTTTAACAAGAAAAATAATAGAATATGTGAAATTGGTACTATTAGTAATTTTGATTAAAGTAAAAATAAACGCAATTTTTGTTAAATGCTAAAAAGTATAAAGATATATAAACAAAATTGGCTACTTTCTGTTGATGTATAAATTATTTCAAACGCTAAGTATGCAGGGTTGAATTTGACTTTATAGCACGAAAAACATTTACTTTCGGGTTACTGTTCTGTCGTAAAAAGTTTACAGCTATATAATTGACGAAATAAAGTAACTCACAATCCGTGAAACTGATTTATTCTTTTTCTTTTTGAGACGTTGAACTTTAGTAGTAAACTAATTTTATCTCGATCGAAGAAAGATTATAGAAAACAAGTTGTTTAGAGGGGAGTCCCTTATTTAAAAATAGTTTAATAATGTAAATAATAAAAATAGATAAACCATACTGTAGAAACTGCCACTACAGGAAGAATTATCTAGAAATAACTCTGGACAGTAAACTTCTATGGAACAGGCATATTAAGTACATTACCAGCAAAGCCACAAAGGCTCACATGATATGATATGCAGAAGACTGGCGGGAAATATAACATTTTGCGCGGGATCTATACAATGACAGTAAGATGACAGTCCATGATTACTTAAAGAGCAGTTATGACGTAACGTACAGCAAGGCAGGGGGGTGACAGTGAAATAGGAAAATTGGAAACAGTCATTAGTGTCATTCCTGTCATCTCCTGACGATAAGTATGGCCGCCTAGACAAGGACAGCAATATTTCTCTCTAACTTATAAAGCATATAAAATATATATTACATGAAAAATCCTGGAGAAAAAGACGTTTCTGCAGTACTAGGTATGTCCCATGTATATTTAAAATAGGTAGTAAATAAACACTATTCTGTATTTTTTAGATGCAAGAAAATTTTGTTATGTTTATGATCGGCGATTTTTTTGAAAATGGAACCAATTTACGGCAAGGTAAGATCATTTTTAACTAGGTATAGCCAACATTAGTTATCTCCAGTATGTGCGATTTATTGTCAATAATGCACAATAAATCTGACTGATACAATCCGATTGTTATTCGACTAAAACTCTCTTTTTGCTTCTTTTTGATTTATAAACCAGGTCTCTTTGGGAATAATGGACGCTTTTTTTAAACAGTATATTTGTATTTTATACCTACTGATATTTTTATTTGTTAATTTTAGTATAAAAAAATTTGTTTTTCTGTTTTCAGGTTTTTGTATAAGGCTCCCGTTTTCATGTTCCTGCCCCCGTTTTCTGTCCCTGATGGCTGTGAAGTCATGCTTATACCTTACTAATTTACGTTAAAATTGCATATAATTAAGTAATTGCTGTTGAAATCATTCAATTCTTTATTTTTTATATATATTTAGTCACGTTGTCTCATATTTCAAATAAATATGTTTGAATAAAATTTTGTTTTGTTTTATTTATGATAAGAAAGAGTACAAAATACATTTAAACTGAAAGAGGTGCCCGCCATTGAATAACCGGAAACGGAAATAAAAATGAAGCCGTCATGTCAACCTGTCAATTGAAAATTAGTTCTCCAGACGACAACGAAGGCTTTCGGTGGCGTATCGTGTTTCCACGATTTAACACAGAGTTGACACTTCTTTCTAGTTAATTATTTTATGCAGCAAGGCACGGTGATTACCCCCCCCCCATACATTGTAGAAAACGAAGATACCGAATATACAGGGTGTTTCAAAGAACATGTGACATCTCTCGTGGTGAGATACCTTACGTACAAATATGATTTTTTATATCAACATGGGTCCGATTCTGCTTTGTTTAGTAGCTACAGGGTGTTAAAGTCATAATAATCTTTCGATTTATTATAATTTTCTTCCAAGTACTTTTAGTGATTCGAATGAAATTTTGAATATAAAAGTTACTATAAGTGCTACATATTTTAATGCTAAAAAAGTGTCGAAATATTCATCAGGGACGTGCAAATGGGTTATCACTGGAATATTTTATCTAATTTATTATTAAATATTATTACTATTAGTCCATTACAGTTGCGGGTTGGAACCTTTGGTGTTACACAGCAAAATAAAAACACTAAATCACCACAATACACCAAAACACTTTTACTTTTACACTGGACGCGCGTTTCGCTAACCATGTTAGCATCATCAGCAGATGATTATAAACTGGCATCATTCAAATAAAAAAATAATGATATTTAAGATAATTACAAAAAACCTAATTTGAAAAATTTTAACATCCTGTAACTCTAATACTATGCATTTCTATACCGATGTTCATAGGAATTTTTTTTTCATATTTTTTGATGAGGAATCAACGAGTACTTATTTAAAACTTTCGCAAGTTAATTAATTATTTTTTTAAAAGGTTGCTATTAGACTTGGATCAAGGCAAATTATTAAAAGTGGGTTTATCTCATCAAGTAGGCCGAAATCGACAAAATATGAAGGCAACTTCTAGTCGACATTATTTTGTTCACGAGAGATGGCACATGTTTTTTGAAACATACTGTATACTTACCAGAAGAAAACAGAAAAATGCTCACATGTGACTTATTATTACACTTTCTATATGAACTATTTTAAAAAGAATAATTAAAAAAAGATAAATGGTTTGTTATCAGATTTTGCCATAATAATGTACGTCTATTTTATGTTATCCGTTGCTCACCCTGTGTTACGTTTGAGTAACAATGGAGTTCATGCAAGACCAAATGGGGCTTCAACCTTTACTTGTTGAATTGAAACCTAAATATGCAATTGGAACGTGTCAAAAGGAAACCGTACGACTAAAAAGAAATTTTAGCTTTTGTACTAAGGGGTTCACTCGGTATTTTTTTACTTTTATTTCTCTATAAAATAGCCCGGCTTTCTACAAAAATTCTGTTTATCGTTCAAATTGTATTTACGACTTTTCTCAAATTTATTTAGCCAACTTTGTAAATTAACCAATAAACCCGAACTTTTGTTCGAACTTAAGCTCAACTTACACCACTTGAAAGTACGTCAAGATTAATTTCTATAATTATTGATATTCAATTAACTGCCTGTGGAAGTTTCTAGCTAATTGAATTATTTTCTTTTTAATTAAGGAAAATAGAGTGGTTTATTTAATGAAAAATGAATTTTTAGAACGACCTTTTTAATGTATATACAGGGTGAGTTTCCTACGATGTTCTCTATGGGTATCTCGGAAACTACTGGAGATAGAGAGTTGGTTAAATGGGGAAAGAATGGCAGTCTTGTAGGGTCATAAATATGCGCCTTTAAGATTTTTGAAAAAGTTCATGGCTTACTAGATATTTCGAAAAAAAAAATGGCTATTTTAAAAATTGTCCCTAATTCCATTATAATCTATTTCAGACAAAAAGCTTTCAGATAAAAGTTGTAGATAATCACATCCCTAATGATTTTATGTTCTCCGATTTTTTCTAGAGCCTGTCATTTTTGACATATGACACAAACATATGTTTTTTTAAATGGAAACCTTAGTTGGCCATGACTATTACACTTTTACTTACCATTTACTTACACACTTTTCTTCATTTGAAAAATTCATATTTGCAATTTTTGTTTATTTTAATTTCCAAAGTTTGGATGTGACAGTTTCGCATTTCTGAGAGCAACGACGATTGAACTTGTTTCCATGTTTAACTAAGTGAAATTAGTTAAGAAAGATAAGAAGTGGCTATAACTCAGTAATTTTGTGAAAAAAACATATTATAGCTTATATCGCTGAAAAGCTTAAAAAATGGTGCTTTTTATGAAGCCATGGCCAACTATGGTTTCCATTTAAAAAAACATATGTTTGTGTCATATGTCAAAAATGACAGGCTTTAGAAAAAATCGAAGAACACAAACTCATTAGGAATGTGATTATCTACAACTTTTATCTGAAAACTTTTTGTCTAAATAGATTATAATGGAATTAGGGACAATTTTTAAAATAGCCAAAATTTGTTTTTTTCGAAATTTTTTACCGTAATAGTTTGCAAACTGCAATTCTTTCCCCATTTAACCAATTCTCTATCTGCAGTAGTTTCCGAGATACCCATAGAGAACATCGTAGGAAACTCACCCTGTATAATGATATTATAATTTATTAACTAATAAATAATAATAAATAATAAATTAATTAAAACATTTAAATAGACCGAAAGAAAAATTGAAATTTCATTATTTACTGGATCTTGTAAGAGATAAATAATATAGTCTCTCCAACAGGAGGATACATAACAGTGATAGTCGTATCTGTCATTATTATTCATGAGTGAAACGTATTTCTCTGATTTTTTTGGATTTCGTCTATTGAAATCTTCCCTGAATCGTTGGACACACCTTTGAAAAAAAAATATGGAAGGAGTATAATGCTATCCATGTATTCATGCATGGTAGACGTAATCGACATCATAGGTCCCCATTTGAAGCTTTGTGTATGCAGGTTGTTAATTTCTTTATTACTCGCGGCAAGAGCTTTATGGTTAAAATATGGCAACCTCGGTCCGCTCGTCGAGAGAATGTAGGCAGTGTTGCCATTCTGTTCCCAATAAGTAACCGTCCAGTTAACAATCTGTATGTTTGTCCTTAGAGCGCTTTTTTATTTTATGTTATTTACTATTTATTCTGCAATTGGTTTTATTTAGAGCTAGTAAATCTAGAAGGAAATTTCGTATCAGAACTTAAATTAGCAGTGACACACACGGCGATTTACCGAAAAAGACCGTAAAAAAACTGTTGTACAGCGTGCGGTAGATCTCTATGTTTCCAACACAATTTGTTAAAAATAATTAAGATACGTCAATTTGACTTGCGTGCTTCAGTAGCGTATCTGATACTTGTGTTACGAAATAATTATTATAACTCAAAATTCAAAGGGACAGAGTTTAGTTAGGGATAAAAAGCCCTTTATAGGTTAAACTGTTGTTTTCAAATATATAGTGATTGTTTTTATTGTTATTTTCAGGTTAACGGGACGGATGTAAGTAGTTATCCTCATGAGGATGCCGTTAGAGCATTCCTAACGGCACAGGAACCCATTGTTGTCGAAGTCAAGAGAAGAATATCTGGTTCTGCGATTCAGTCAAGAGATGTTTCCAAATTCGTATCGACCGCCTGTCAGACTGATATATCGGGCATTCAATTAATCGACGAATCTGCAATCGATTGTTTCACCCACGACATCGATTTAGAAGTAAGTTTAACACCATATCTAACAGAATCATGCCATATTCCAAACGTTCAGTTTTCCAGGTTATATTTTATTTTCAGCTTTTCAGTAACTATTTTGTGTTTAATTTGGATGTCATTTTTGATACATTTTCCTCTCCGTAGCTTCGAATTAAATTTAGATCTTATCATTTAATGAAATTTCTAGTTGAAAGATGTTCGCCATTTTTTTTTCGCCAGTTATTTTTTACGTCAAGTATTTTTCTTTCTTTCTCTTTAGTTGAAGGAAGAGTATAGTTTACGATGGGCGCCTAAAACAAGCTGGAATGAACCGGAACATAATTTAAATTGAAATGAATTATTAAAGCCCTTTCGAACAAGTTCGGTTAGCTCTACTCTGCTTATTTCTTTCCAGTTGACCAATTTATATAGCGCAATTTTCTTGCAGAAATCCAAAACCGTCTATTAAAAAAGTTTATTTATTTTTTTAATTAAGAGTTTGAGACTGGCCGTCATCATATATCTCGCGGCAATTTAGTTTCTGCAGCTTCTACAATTGCAAACTATTACGGTAACTGCTAACTGAAACATATTTCAAGAAGTTGGGAGACATTTATTAAAATTTTCATAAATTCCCGACCTACGCGTTTTAAACTTCAAGGCTCTGGCGTGGATCAGCCGTAATCTCTTCAAGATTTTTGTCCTTTTTCGTCACACTCGGGCTGGTATTAAATTTTGCTTTGTTATTTATTGCTTTTCGTATTTTCTCTCTAAGAATACGTGACATCCTTGTTAGAAAAATAGAAATTTTAATATAACAATCTTAATGTATTTATAATGAGCTTTTCTCAAAATTATTACAATGAATTCTTCAAATGTTACGAATTTGCAAAAGATATTCATTATGTTTTAATAAACGTTATACTTACTCCTTAAATCTATGAATGAAATCAACCAGGTATATCCATATCAATTAGCGATGAGCGATTTACTTCTATAATCTGTTACTGACAATTTGATGACCTTCTGATTGGATTATACTGGCGTAATTCCTAATAGTTCATCACTTTCACTTATACGACGTTGTTCTGATTGTTATCAGTTCTCTGTGGACCAAAAATCGTAATAAATTATTAATTTTCTTTTTATTCAGTTAATATTACGTGTTTTTATATACAAAGGATAAACACTTTTATAAAAATGTAGACTACTAAAAGCAAATTCTCATAAGTATTTTAGAAATATGAATGTGGCTATATCTGTAAATTAAATAGATAAGAATTGGAAAAATAAATCTTTCAAAATATTAATAATACATATATATTTTATCCGTTTCGGATAGCATATTACTTGAAACAAATTATTAGACTGTCAATTCCATAGTTGCCTTAATTAACTTTCTATTGATCACAGATAAATCACGAGTAAATAAGTCAATTGTCTCAGTGATAAATTTCTGGTTTAGTTTGAATTATTAGTGAGCAGATACCAGACATTATCTATTGTACTGGCTGCACGTTTAAATAAAAATAAATTAAAACGTTTGCCAATGCGCCATTGATAACGATCGCTATTGAGCTTGATAAATGTTTAGGCATCTGCGGCACTATTCCTACCAATTATGACATTAAGAATCCTTCACGCAGGTCAAAATAAATCAGCGCAGCAAAGTAATGGGGTCGATAAATCAAAGTTTGAGCCATCGAAGGAATCGCTTTAATACAATATCCAAAGAGTTGTCATTTATCTTAAAATGTCTCTTGTTTCGCTCGAACCGATGACAATAAATTTCTAATTAACCAACGGTTTAATAGCCAAGATAGATAGCCTTCATTTCGATACCATAATAGATGGTATGGGCAAAATTTAGAAACAAACATGGTCCAAACTCCAACGGTCTAAGACAATCGAAGAAATTTCTCAGGATCGAGAAAAATTAGAGATATTTTCCTTGATTTAAGTAAGAACAATGTTCGAATTGTCACGAGGTTTTTGACAGACACTGTCTCCGGATAATGAACGCCTCAGTAGATCTAAGCTAAGGAACAACGGCGAACGCAGATTCTATGAGGAAAATGAGGAAACACCAGAACACCTCATCACTAAGTACGCCAAGGGCGCTTATGAGCCCAAAGGTATCGCCGAGACTCGTCTGGGAATGCCTGGGTCAACTGGGAACTCTGGCACGGAGGAACAGAATTAGGTTATTCTGGGTGCCGGGCCACAGCGGCATCCAAGGCAACGAAAAAGCCGATGAGCTAGCTAGGCAGGGATCATCGGCATCCTATCTTGGTCCAGAGCCAGTACTGGGAATACCCAGATGTATGGCCCGTAGTCTTACTCTAATCTTGACAGGATACAGGGCTGTCAAGTGTTTGGTTTGGAATAAGCTCAACCTGTATCAAGGAAGTCTTTGCTGCAGACTCTGCGATAAAGATGCTGAAACAGCGGAGCACATAATATGTCATTGTGAGGCTCTGGATCGCAAGCGACACTTTTTATTTGGAAAAGCTAGGCTAGAACCAGAGGAACTATGCTCCCATCCTATCAGGACCTGCATAAGCTAGTGCAGAGCACAGGGATAGGAGAATGGGTTCAGATATAGAAAGGGGACAAACACAATAGGCCCACAGGTCGCAGTATTTCCGGCAGAGGACGGCCCCTTGTTATGGAAAAAAAAGTGCGCAAGTGCGCCGAGACGACAACCATTCGTGCCATAAACTTTTGTACGATATCGGAGATGAAGAACTAACTTCTGTAAAACCGTCTCAGATACTGGCTTTTGTCAGTCCTGAGACTGTATGATGAGTTATAACTCAAGAAAGGGGGACACATGATTTATAAGGTTGCAGTGAATAACTCTAAACTAAAAATAAATAACTGTTTATACATATTTTATGATGTAAAATTAAAAAACATCTGAGGTTACAAAAGCAATCCTTATCTGTCATATAACTATTCTTCTAGTGAAAAAGTTCGGTAACAGACTTGTCATTTATAGTCTTGTCTTTTCAAGATCGTTCGACAATAAATTTTTAATTAACAGCCCGCCTAATGGCTGAAATAGATCTCCTTTGTTTTTACTACAACCACCAGAAGGACAGTTCATTTACAGTTACACAACGAGAAAAAAGAACCTAGTGAAACTGGTTTATCGTTTTCTTTATTTGCATTATCGGCTGAGATTTCGGACTAAGGGTAAACAAAGAATGGCTTTGATGTTATCTGAAGGTCCAAGTAGATCTCTTGAGGCTATATTCTCTTCGTCAAGTATTAAATCTGTATCAGTTGGAGGAGGATGGCAACAGGGGACAGTCAACATTTAATTTCTTCATGATTCTCCAAAATTATATTAAATGTCTATGTCGTATGTCCGGTTTTATATATGCTCTTGTTCAGTAACATTTTATTATCTGAATTTAGTAGAACAATATTATAATATAATCTCTTTTACAAAAGATTAAAGAAAAGCAACTTGCCGTAGAGATTTAACTACAATGAGCTGATGAGTATAAAAAGTAAGCAGTCTATATAAAGTAGATTTTTTTAATATTTAAAGTGGAGTTTAAACTCGAAAAGAAGTCAATTTATGTTTTGTACTTTATTTTTAATTGTACGTTGTTATGACAAGTAATTACGAGAAAACCGGTATTTAGCTGACATGCTGTTCGTTGCACAGAAAAAGATTTATTTTCCTTTTGTTAAAATCAGTATAAAAACGTTTAAAATATATGTCAAATTTTGAACTAAAATATTATAAATCATGGCACTTTTTCTACTGTTTTTAATAAATATTTTTTTACTTAAGGAAGTCAACTGTTAATAATAATATATATTTGTTTATCAATACTTATTCTGAAAGCAAAAATCACAATTTACATAGACTTAACTTAAATTAGACTTATAAATGTATATCTATAGCAGAAGAAAATCTTGCAATGCTTTTTCAAGGAGTTAAAATAAGTAAACATTATTTTGTTTGTACACTGACAATGAAAAATATTTATGGAGATTAAAAAGGAAACTTAATTGAACTAAAAATATTTCGAACTCCAGATAAGTCGAGATGTGTATGATCTTTATACAGGGTGTCCCATAAATAAGTGCAAGTATTTTAAGGGGTGGTAGCTCTCGATAAAAGAAACATATTTTCTCTTTATCATTTTTGAAATAAGTCCAAAATAACGGAGTTATTTTACTGGTTTTAATTTCCAAAAAAAAAATGATTTTTTGCTCAAATTTTGAGAATCACTTAATTTTTTGTGGATTTTCTTTCTTGTAAATTTAATCTACTACCTATGTTGCCATATTATCAAGAAATTATGTTTTTTAACTAAAAACTAAAAAAAATTCCAAAATTTTTTTCCAAAAATTCCGAATTTTGAAAAAAAATTTCCGCGAAAAAAACCGCAAAAAAAAACATGCATGTTTCTGGGGTTGGACTATACTACCAGTTAAAATACTTGCACTTATTTCTGGGACACCCTGTATAGTGTTATTGTATAGCTGTTTTCAAATGTCAAGATATTTGTATTGTACAAGACCTTCTTCAGGTATTTCCCGATTTCTATAGTTATTTTATTTATTTATGTACATAAAAGCGGTATAGTGTTTCTTCAAAATGACATATTTTCAGTTTACTGTTGTTTCCCGTAGAACAGATCGTGTGCATAGTAGTTGCAATATGGTCACGATTTATTTTGCAAGTAAGAGGTAATGTTTACATGTAGCCCCTTGCAAACTACTAGTTCCGGAAGTTTGCTATTGAATATTTCATTATCTGCTTAATCAAAAGCAGATAATGAAATAATTTAGGGTGATAGCAAAGAATTGAATATTTAGACAAAAACTATTATTCAAAATATAATGTGTGATTTAATATATTTGCATATAATAACCTTAATTGTCTATCTTCATGTAATCTGTTCTTAACAGTTTGAGCACTGACATTTACTTGGTGAACATTTAGCAGTTCATTTCTTATTTGAGTAGCTGTAAGGTTTGGGTTCTGAAGTGCTTGAATTC